GGAAAACAACACCCAACCTATCCAATTTGTCAATGTACGCTTTCATTTTCAAAACATGCGAACACACAAAATTTCCATCTTGATGTTTACATGCCAATAAGGCTTGAGTAGTTTCGTATCTTTCAATTCGAGGAAAACACAACGTGGGGAGAGTCACTGGAGGAGGAGGAGGAAGAGTTGAAGAAACATGACGTCCAGTTCCACCATTTTACGAAGAAGAGAAAACATTTTCACCTTGATTAGAAAGTAGAAGATCATCTTCAGAAGAAAGAGGAAAACCATTTCCACAAGAATAAGGAAGACTATTGTTGTCTTGTTTTGACATCTATAAAAAGGGAGAAAAGAGAATTCAAGTTACTTGATTTTAATCCTTAATTATTAACCCATAAATTTTAAATTAAGTCTAGGATCCATATTTTTTTATTCGAACTTTGAAGAGGGATGTCGTAATCAAAATTCGAATCTATTTTAGGTAGGTAAGGCTTTTACCAATTTCAATCTTATGAAACTCCTAGATATTTTGAGATTCATTGAATCTAATCAATGACATGTTTAATCTCGGATTATGCTCTCCTTTTTGTGACTGGGATGCTGAGGATCACAAACGAGATGTGAATAACCATGCAAATTAGCTTGGCACTCTCGATGTCATTTATCATCTCGTTTTAATGTGTCGGTTAGCCACACGCGCTCCATTAATCAACGATAATTTTCGAAACACCCACTACCACTCTTTATTAGTCCCCCATTAGTGTGATGGTTAAACATGCACGCTCCACTAACGACTTATAAAGTGTAATGTACAATTTCATGGATTAGCATACAAATTCATATTTTTTCTAAAGTAACTAAGAGTGAGATTTTAGAAAATAGTTTAGTTACTTTATGTCATTATACTTATCAATGAGATTATGTCCTATCAAATCGGTTCCCCTAACGACCCTCCACCATACAGAAAAGCGGTGGATGAGAGTGAACACCCATTAAACGGCCATTTTATAGGTCGCTTCCTTATACCCTCTTTATAGCATGGTTTCGTGAATGGGGTGTACTAGTGATTTTACTGACTTTTCTTATATGTGTAATATATATAAAACTTTTAATCATATACACATAGTATAAGGCGTATTTTAAAACATTTTAAAATTGCAAGAGTTTAATCTTTTAATAAATTAAACTTTTAATTTAATTAAATTTAAACCATTTTATAGATTTATTAATTATCTTTTACTTAATCATTTAATTAAATTAATAACAAGATCCATAAGGATAATTTTAATCATATAAATTTATCATTATCTTATCTATAATCATCTCCTAATATTTAAGGTTTTATTTAATTATCTAACATGACCAAAATTCGGATTATGACAGATTATATAAAAGATAATTACCAAATAAATCAAATTAGGCAAGAAAATTCGGAATATACTGTGCTCACGTCGTGAACATGGACTGCTCACGTCGTGAGTACAGTTTGGCAAAAACAGATTTCCGGATTAACCTGTGCTCACGTCGTGATCTATTAATCTCACGTTGTGAGATCTGATTTTCAGAAGAAAAAAAATCAATTTTTGTTCAAGTTCAAGCAATATACATTTAATTGTTAGACAATCTACGCTCTAATACCACTAATGGGTTTTACATGCACTAACGCGGATAAATCTTTAACTCTTAAGGGTACATACAACCTAATGATCTATGTCATAACTCTATTGAAGTAATATTCTATTGAACAACAAAAACTATAAACCCTAGGTAATTTCAAATATAACAAAACAAAATAGGGTTTACTTACCTTTTAGCTATTATAGTAAATAACTGTTCAAAAACCTTCTTGAAAGACTCTTGGAAGCAAGCACCACAAGTGCCGTGCCTCTAATGGTTCACACCCAAACCCTAGCAACCAAGGAGCTTGAAGAGAGAGAGGAGAGATGTGAGAATTTCGGCCTAACTATTCTTTAGAAGTCATGGCCGAAATTTGTATCCCAAGGGTCCTTTTTATAGTGTGACCAGGAAACCCTAGATAACCCTAAAAGGAATAAAATAATATTATTTCGTTTTGGTAATTATCCAACTTCCTAATTATCCTCCAATGATAATTCTAGAATCTCTAGACACCTCCTAAAACCGTCTAAGGCTCTAGGATATTTATAGAATACCTCTTACTCAACTATTGAACAATTACACTTTAACCCCTGTACTTTTAAGTAATCCAATTAATCCCAAAATTAATTCCATTTAATTTCTGATTAATTCTTAATTAAATATTACTATTTCTAATTAATATATTATTCTCATAATATATTAAAAAATCATTTATTTTGAGTTCGAATTAATTTATTAACCATATAATAAATTAATAAATCAGTCTCCCTCTCTAAAAGTTATCATATTCAATTGTTAGGTTTGAGGGCAACCCAAATGGATTGTGCTACTATCAATTAAAGTTTATACAAATTATAGTTATGGGCTTAAACACCTAATCCAACAAAATAAACTTGTCATATCCCTATCCAAGGGATATGCATACCGTCCATGCTCCTCTCTATAAGGTTCAGGAATATCCCAATTAATCCCTAAGATTAATTAATATTCAGCCTCGTTAATTAATTAAATCTTTTTAATTAATTTATCAAAATAATTCCTGATTAATTTATTAATTCCTTAATAAATTAAAATATTATAAATCTCTTTTCCTTTTGATATTTGTTTCATCAGATCAACTCAAAAGGACCCTACTATTATTAGAAACATTACCAAAATATTTAATGACCTTGGACACTATATCCAACAGTCTCCCACTTAGACAGGTTGTCAACTTTTTATGATCAAAATATTTCGCTAGCAATCAACATAAAGTAGTCATCAATTGCAACTGTCAAACTCTGATTAGAATAAAATTTGATTCTTAGACAATTGAACAATTATTCATTTGTTCTAGATATCTCTATGAACACGATTCATGGATATGTGTCAATATTAATGTTCAACATTTTATTTCCCAATTAATGATTTCTAACATTACATCTGACAACTAATCGAGCACATGAATTTAGTTAGGGATCGGCCAAGCACTCCAGATGTCATGTAATGTCCCATTTTCACAACCAAAACTTAGCATTTTTTATTGGAGTAAAATTCCCTATTATAAATCAATTATTAAGAAAACCATTTATTCCAACATACATTTATTGAAAATCAAAGTAATATTAAAGCGCGAAATCTTCATTGATTCAGATGAATGTGTACAGTAACGCTTCGCCTTCCCATGATAACAGATGATACCTGGAACAATAGACAACTAGGTAAGCACAAAGCTTAGTGAGTTTTTTCCCAAAATACCCCATATGATAAACATACAAGCATGCATAATAGCCCACAATAATCAGATTGGAATGCCCAAGCCCATTCAGTCCGCGGACTAAATGCCAACATGCAACGGGTCCAATCAACCATCGGGCTGGAATATCCAGGGTTTGTTGGCTTGCCGCCTGAACTCAACCGTTATTCCCGAGCCTTCATGCCCACGACTTACAGCCGGCCCGCGCCGAGTATCTTGGCTTACAGCATAAAGCAGGACCGACTCAACCCACTACCACCATATGTCGACATATAAACAATCAAGGATCAAGTAGGCACATAATACAAGCAAACATCAATCCTACAGCTCACTACCCACTACTACAAAAATACCTTTTAACGACACACAATGTGTGTCGTAAAACGGTCAGACGACATGCAAATACGTGTCAAGGAAGGCACTGTCATAACGAAAGATGACATGCTTTTGCGCATTGTAAACTTACGACGCACATTTATGACACGCATTTACGATGTTCCTTTATGACACACAATGCGTGTCAAGGAAGCCCCTGTCATAAAGGAAGACGACACGCCCTTGTGTGTCGTAACCTTACAACGCGTGTTTACGACTCGCATTGTGTATCATTAAATCCATTGTCATAAATGAAGATGACACGCATTTGCGTGTCATAAACTTCAGCTGCCAGTGAAGATACACATTTACGACGAGCATTTATGATATGCATTTACAACATGAATACACATAATAAAAAAAATAAATATATACCAAAACATTCAATTTCATCTAAATGTCAAACAAGTTACCTAACATTACATGCCAAACAACACTACATGTCAAACGAGGATGCTACCTAACATTTCACAAAGTTAACAAAAACATTGTACACCATATGTCAAAAGACCATGCTACCTAACATTTCACTGTTAATAAAAATACTGTTTTGTGGATACAATATATCACTGATAAATGAAGCATGTAACAAACTCTGACCATTCTTCACGTATTTCATCGATATCATGAGTTGTGTACTTAACTTTGCCAACCCTAACCTGAGAAAAAATTTGTGTATTGTCTCTATTATAAAAAGTTTCATATTAACATATTCCTTAACAGTGAGTTGTTATATTTAACAAATAAACATAAAATGTAAATTCTTCTTTCTTAATAGAGCATTGTACTTTCAAATGAATGAAAGCACATTGTCATTTTTGCATATAACCTAATATTTCAATTATAATTTTGAGAGTAGGATGCCATAAAATGATCCTTTTGTCAATTCCTTTCCTATTAAATTAAAGTAGTGAAAGTAGAATGTTATCTCCTTACATTGTCTTTGACCAACACTTCAATTCCTTCCTCAACTATCTCCTTCATGAACTTTAACATATAGTAGCCACCTTCGATACATTCGGGCTGAACTGGACACTACATAATTACATATAAATGATAATTGCAACATTGATCGAAAAAATAAAGTAAAACCTGCATTTCAATAAGGAATTAAGTGATGCCGTAACATTGACCCAATTTAGTTTAACCCTCTTGTTGGATCCACTTTGTGTAGCGTACATAACCATTTCCCTATAAAAAAACATTAACAAATAGGTATTTATTGTATCACATCAAGTGTTTTGATAATTTATATTACTTACGAATCAACAATTTGCTTCAACTACATATCGAAATTGCCAGAACTCAAGGAATCAAGATAATAGCAAGTATCCGATTTCATGTATAGTACACCCAACACCCAATGTCTTCTACAAAAACCACAAACGAAATTAAGTCAAATAACATAATTGCAGTCATTTTCAAAATAAAATGGCAAAATCAAACCTGGGATTGTAGGGCAATAGGGTGATGTCATTGCTCTTTCTAGTAGACAACCGATCTGCAACACCTCTACTTGCATCATAAATATTCTTAGATTTCCCTTTACACGTACTTGGCGAGATTACAGCCGAGTTCACAAAGAAAATTACATGATCTCTTTCTGGCAGGCCATACTTGATTTTGGTAAACAACACCCTGTTATCATACAAACACTAAATTGATTAAACAAATTTTGTTTTAAGAACAATTATTTAAATTAAATTTCTTGCACTTACATCACATAAAACACAACGACAGCATCGGTCAGCTCATCCAATGTAAGAACTGCTTCAAAATCATCCCAAATTAAGTACGTGTAATTCTCGTACCCAAAAAGATCGTTCTCACACTGCACTTTTATAGAATCAACCTTTGTAACTTGTCCATCAGCCATAATTGCAGTCATTTTCAAAATACTACTTTTATCAATTCTTATCCTTGTCTTCATCTATGCTCTGGTCCACCTTCTTTGCATGGTCACATTTTGTTTCTCCATGTAACAACCGTGTTTCTAGGCTAGGCATTAATGATAATGTAATAGTCTAGGTCATCCGTTCTAATTTTTTTTTAAATGATAAATTGTATTATTTGAGTATTATGTGTTTTATGCTTAATTATTATAATTTAATGAATTAAGAATAAAAATAAGCGTCGAAAATAAATTTTAAATAAACCCGATATCTATGAAGAAAGTGGTAGTGGTTGAAACAAGGATTCCGAAGATATAAAGAATATCGAAATCCGAGTTATAACGAAGAAGTTATGACATGTCAAAGTTTCGCGACAGAACCGGCACGACGTTGTGTGACGTAAAAAGTGAATTTACGATAAAGTGCTTTTTAGCCTTAGAAATCTAAACGAAAGTCGTAGCATTCGTTACACCGAGAGCGTGCATAAAAAGAATGCCCAAATCTGACTTCGTATGAGAAAGTTATGATTTTTCTAAGTTTCAGCTTAGCAGTATGCAGCCCGAAACTCGAATTTTAGATCGAGTGATTTTTAGCCGAAACAACCTAAACGAGAATTGAAGATCTTGTTGATAGTAGTTCAACGGTAAAAAGACAGACGAAAACGGACGTCGGATGAAGACGTTATGAATTTTAACGGATTTTTCCTGTCCCGGCCTGTTAAAAATATAACTTTAAAATAAAGTCAAAATTAGCTGACGGAGTCTAAACAAAAGTTGTAGAGCTTAAATTCACCTATGCGTGGATATAAAGAACGTCAAAAATGAAGTTCGTATGCAAAAGATATGAATTTTTGAAGTTCAGAACACAAACTTCGAGGTCTGACCAACTCACGACGTGAACAAAGCATGGTTCATGACATGAACCAGTTGATTGGCACTTACAAAGCCTAGAAGACACGTGGCAAGCATAGGGGATGACCAGGATCAAAGTTCACGACGTGAACATACATGGTTCACGATGTGAATGTCGAATTTTCACCCTATAAATAGATACGAAGGTCTCCGGGCTTAGGTTCCAAAAACCTATTCTCTTACACTTCAAACTCTCTTTTAAGCCCCTTTACACTACCCTGACGCCTCGGTTACATATCGAACATCCGAAGGAAGCTCTGAGCCCCAAAGATCCCGAGAAAAATAGTTTTCGAGCCGAAACTCTGTCCATGAGAAGCCCGGTTTTTGATAAAACATCTCGGTTTCGTCTGAAAAGATTATTTTAAAAGACGAAGTGTTGCCCAATTATCGTCTTAACAAGTGAGTGTATAGTCACTTTCATCTTACACAAGGATATGAAGTATTTCCTATAAAATACGTGCTATGTGTAATTATATTGTTTGTTTATTTGAGATGGATGTTAAATAAATGTTTTATACAAGTTTTAAACTGTATATGTATTTTTATCTACAAATATGTTGGGTAAAATATGGGTAGATGAAATAGTTGATGTGTGTTAAAATGATGAGAGGCCTCGATGTTGTTGTTGTTGTTGATTTTGTAGTCATCCAGCGGAGTATAGATGACGACCACGGACCTTTCTAGACAGTCCAGTGGAACGCTAGCATGTTCGCAACATGTAGGTGTCGGTGAACTATATGTTCGCTGGTGTACTCCATCCCCCTCATGGTTGCCTTATTCGACATAAATTGTTGAGGAATCCCTAAAGTAGTGTTGTCACCCCGATGAAAATTCTTAGACTAGGTCCCTTATGATAGGTGTTTAGGGACGTAAAGTGAGGATAACGGGAATGGGTAATCAGGGTTATTGTTGGTTGATGAAATTAATAAATTTATTTTTAGTTGATGAATTTCATAAATTTATTATTATTTGTGGGTTGAAAACCCTATATTCTCACCAGGCTCCCAAGCCTGACCCACTCAGCTTTTTATATTACAGGTAGTGGACCCCGAGCATAATCGGATGATGATGAGAGATTTTTGGATTATAGGCCAGTAGTTGTAAATAACTGTTGTAAGGCTTATAATGTACTGTTTATGCTTTTGATATGTATCGGAACATGACATCCCGAGGTTTTGATATATAATGAAAATATATATTTCTTTAAGAAATGTTTTGATAAATTTTTATCATGTTTTGTTTTGGGGACAAATTCCGCAACATCTTCTAAAAAGATTACTCTGATTTTATTTTAAAAGCATAAATTAAATCAGTCTTTTCTGGCCGAGAAATTTGGGGATGTCACAGTTGGTATCAGAACATTAGTTTAAGCGAACTAGGAATATGTAGGATTTCTAGACTTAAACTTAGCATGCTAACTAATGATCGTGAGATGAGTGTCTACCATATTTTAGACACAAGCACTAGTATATTTTAGGAAAGATGCCTAAAATGCTTTTATGTGCTAAATGCTATATGTTTGTCATATATGCCATTATTTGTTCGGATCTATGGTCTGTTGCCGACCGGATCTGGAAACCTTATGTGTTCAGGATTCTAAGCGTACGACTACGATATTAGAACTAGCATGTAAACGTTTCGGAGTGATAAGGAGAATTTAAATATCTATCGTGAATAAAGATCTAAATTCGCCTTATTTGGTATATAGATTATAATGGCAAGAACTCGAAGTGGAGCTAGAAATGCAAATAGAAACCAGCAACCTCAACCCCAAGTGATGGAACAGGTGCCTATAGCAGGAGCTGCACCAGAACCCATCACCATGGCTGGAGTACAAGCCATGATTCAGACAATGATGGCTGAACAAAGGAAGGAAAAATGAGGCAAATATTGTTGAACAACAGGAGTGAACCTTCAATTCCTGTTGAACAACCAGAATTAAATGACGATCAATGTGACGAAGGAAATTATAGTAGATCCGTTGGTCAAACTGAACCACTTGTGGTTAGGAGGAATAACCACGAGGACAGAGTGGAGAGAAATGGATGCAAGTATAACGACTTTATGACTTCCAAGCCATCAACTTTTACTGGAAAAGAAGATCCCATCCGAGTAATGGATTGGATCTCGGAAATGGAATTGGCTTTCATGACATGTGGTTGCCAAGGCAAGTTACAAACCATATTTGCTGTGCGTCAGTTCAGAGGTGGCGCTGTTCGCTGGTGGAACACTCTGGGGAAGACCCTAAGCCCTAATGAGCCACTGCAACTAATTTGGGCAGAGTTCTTGGTGCAATTCAAGCGCAACTACTGCTCGGCCCAAAATGTGCTTGAGCTACAAAACCAATTTCTGGCGTTGAAGAAGGGAAGTATGACCATTGATGAATACACAAATAACTTCACAGACAAATGGAGTTTGATTTGCGTATTGTCCCAGATGAGCTGACGAAAATAGACAGGTACGCAAAGGGACTTCCATGGGAGTATGTGGTGCCAGTCCGTCAGGCACTTACTCTAGAGGCAGTTATCTGGGCTGCCAAGTCTATTGAAGATATGATTAAGGGGAGAGCCGCCAGCAAGGTTGAAGTTGGCGAAAATAGAAAGTTTGAAGGAACTTCTGGTTCCAACAAGAAGAATAAGTTCTCGAAATCTGGTTTGAGGAAATTTGAAGGAGGATCCGAAGCGAAATGGTGTGACAAGTGTAAGAAGAAACATGCTGGTAAATGTAGCGAGGAAGTCACTTGTTACAAATGTGGAAAGCATGGGCATTATGCTAATGAATGTACCTTCAACAAGAAAGTCTGTTATGGGTGCAATGAAGAGGGGCACATTTTGAAGGATTGCCCGAAGAAGAAGGATGCAGTAAAGCCCAATCTTCCACCAAACCCAAAAGCCAGAGCTTTCCAAACGACATTGGAAGCTGCAAAGGATGCAACGGATGTCGCTTCAGGTACTTTTCTTGTAAATGGATTGCCTGCCAATTTATTGTTTGATTCCGGAGCAAATTACTCCTTTATATCACATAAATTTAGTGAAAGACTAGCATTGCCTATAGAAAAGCTAGATGATGCCCTAATTGTAGAAGTTGCTAGTGGCAAATTCATACCTCTTAGCGATTGTATTAGGAATATCATCATTGACCTGAACGGAAATGAATTCCTTGAGAATATGTTACCCATTGAGTTAAACGGCTTCGACGTAGTATTGGGAATGGATTGGCTTAGTGGCAATGATGCCGAAATACTATGCAAGAAAAAGATAGTAAGGGTAAACCCGCCTGGAAAAGAGTCGTTTATGGTATACGGAGATAAGCGCAGAGTAAAATCTGGAATCATTTCCCTAATGAAAGCCAGAAAATGTTTATCTAAAGGATGCACTTCATACTTGGCATTCGTGATCGATGCTAAGAAGGAGAAAAAGGATATGCAAAGTATACCAGTGGTGTGTGACTATCCGGAAGTTTTTCCTGAGAATCTTCCTAGATTGCCTCCTGATAGATAAGTGGAGTTTAGAATAGACTTGTTACCATGAACAACACTAATAGCAAAAGCCCCATATCGATTAGCACCGACAGAGATGATGGAACTTATGATGCAACTTCAGGAGTTGTTGGACAACGGTTTTATTAGACCTAGTTCATCACCTTGGGGAGCCCCGGTGTTATCCATGAAGAAGAAAGATGGGAGCATGAGAATGTGCATAGATTACAGAGAGCTGAACAAGGCAACAATAAAGAACAAGTACCCGTTGCCAATAATTGATGACATGTTCGATCAGTTGCAAGGTTCGAGCTATTTCTCGAAGATCGATCTTAGGTCAGGATATCATCAGCTTAAGGTAAGAGAGCAAGATATTGAGAAAACTGCGTTCAGAACAAGATATGGACACTACGAGTTTTTAGTTATGTCATTTGGACTAACCAATGCTCCAGCAGCCTTCATGGATTTAATGAACAGGGTTTGTAAACCATTCTTAGATAAATCTGTGATAGTGTTCATAGATGACATTTTGAATTACTCGAAAAGCCAGGAGGAGAATGACAGACACTTGAGAGAAGTGTTAGAAGTATTAAAAAGGGAGAAGTTGTATGCGAAGTTCTCCAAATGTTATTTTTGGATTCAAGAAGTCCAATTTTTGGGTCATGTGGTTAACCAAGAAGGGATTATGGTTAACCTAGCTAAGATTGAAGCTATAACAAAGTGGGAACAACCAAAGAGTCCTACGAAGATCCGAAGCTTTCTAGTATTAGCTGGATATTATCGAAGATTTATCCAAGGCTTTTCTTCGATAGTTGCTCCATTGACAACTTTGACCCACAAGGGAGCTACTTATGCTTGGAGTTAGAAGCATAAGGAAGCATTCGAGAAGCTAAAGAAGAAATTATGTGAAGCACCAATTCTTTCTCTACCCGATGGATTTGAAGACTTCATAGTGTATAGCGATGCGTCGGGAGTCCAGTTGGGATGTGTTCTAACTCAAAGAGAAAATGTGATAGCATATGGATCTCGACAATTGAAAGAGCATGAAAAGAATTACCCCACTCATGATCTGGAGTTGGCAGCTGTAGTATTTGCCCTAAAGATATGGAGGCATTACCTCTATGGCACAAAGTGCAAACTTTTCACTGATCATAAGAGTCTTCAGTATCTCTTTACTCAGAAGGAATTGAACATGAGGCAACGACGCTGGCTAGAGTTACTCAAGGACTACGACTGTGAGATACTTTACCACCCTGGTAAAGCAAATGTTGTCGTTAATGCTCTCGGTCGGAAGGTAAACCTTGAAAAGAAAAGGGCAAGAGTGTTGAGAATTGAAGTTGTCTCGACAATTGTGGAAAGTATAAAGAAAGCTCAAGAGGAAGCTTCAGAGAAAAATGACCGAAAGGAAGAACGTTTGGGCAAAACGTTAGTGTTCGGTACAAATAACCAAGGGTTGAAGGTATTTGAAGACAGGATTTGGGTACCTAAGACAGGAGGATTAAGAGATCTTTTGATGGAAGAAGCTCACAAAACCATGTACTCGATTCATCCCGGTAGCACAAAAATGTATAGGGATCTAAAACCCTACTACTGGTGGCCGACGATGAAGCTCGATGTTGCAAAGTATGTGGTCGAGTGTGTGACATGTGCGAGGGTTAAGGCACAACATCAGAAACCGTATGGGATTTTAAAACCTTTACCTGTACCCATGGGTAAATGGGAAGACATCACTATGGATTTTGTAACTAAACTGCCCAGAACAAAAAGCGGTCACGACATGATTTGGGTTGTCATTGATCGATTCACAAAAAGTGCACATTTCATAGCAGCCAATGAGAAGTGGTCTGTGGAAAATCTTGCAAAATTTTACCTGAAAGAAATAGTGAAAGCACATGGTGTTCCCCTGACGATTGTGTCAGATCGCGATAGTCGTTTCACATCAAGGTTTTGGAGAAGTCTACAAGAGGAATTGGGTACGAAATTGTGTCTAAGTACAGCTTACCATCCACAAATTGGATGGTCAGAGCGAGCGAACAATTCAAACGTTAGAGGATATGCTAAGAGCATGTACCTTGGAATTCCAAGATAATTGGGATGAACATTTACCTCTTGTAGAATTTTCCTACAACAATAGTTACCATTCGAGTATCAAAATGGCACCTTACCAAGCTTTGTATGGAGAAAAGTGTCGAACGCCGTCGTGTTGGCTTGAAGCTGGGGAAAAGCAGTTTATGAGACCTGAAATAGTCCATCAGACTGCTGAAAAGCTGAAAGTGATTAGGGAAAGGATGTTAGCAGCTCAGGATCGTCAAAAGAGCTATGTTGACAAGAAAAGACAACCGATATCATTCGAAGTTGGTGATTCGGTTTTACTTAAAGTCTCGCCGTGGAAGGGGCTTATAAGATTTGGTATAAGGGGAAAGTTGAGTCCAAGGTTTATTGGACCATTTAAAGTTCTTCAGAGGATTGGGAACCAAGCTTACAAGCTAGAATTACCAAAAGAACTAGATGATATTCATAACACTTTCCATGTGTGTTATTTGAGGATGTTCACGGGAGATATACCCGACATCATTCCAATTTCTGAATTAAGATTGGATGAAAGCAAGAGGTTAATCGAAGAACCAGAAGCAGTCGTTGACTGTAAGACTAAGAAGTTGCGACGCAAGATGGTCGATTTAGTGCTTGTGCGATGGAAACATACGAATGGGCCAAATCTCACCTGGGAAACGGAGAGTGACATGATGAGTTGCTATCCGCATTTGTTTGCTAATGTGTGATTCCGAGGACGGAATCATCCTAAGGGGGTGAGAATTGTAACGCCCGTGTTTCTAGGCTGGGTATTAATGATAATGTAATAGTCTAGGTCAACCTTTGTAATTTGTTTTGAAATAATAAATTGTATTATTTGAGTATTATGTGTTTTATGCTTAATTATTATAATTTAATGAATTAAGAATAAAAATAAGCGTCGAAAATAAATTTTAAATAAACCTAATATCTATGAAGAAAGTGGTAGTGGTTGAAACAAGGATTCCGAAGATATAAAGAATACCGAAATCTGAGTTATAACGAAGAATTTATGACATGTCAAAGTTACGCGACAGAACCGGCACCACGATGTGTGACGTAAAAAGTGAATTTACGATAAAGTGCTTTTTAGCCTTAGCGATCTAAACGAAAGTCGTAGCGTTTGTTAAACCGAGAGCGTGCATAAAAAGAACGCCCAAATCTGACTTCGTATGAGGAAGTTATGATTTTTCTAAGTTTCAGCTTAGCAGTATGCAACCCGAAACTCGAATTTTTGATCGAGTGATTTTTAGCCGAAACAACCTAAATGAGAATTGAAGATCTTGTTGATAGTAGTTCAACCTAAATATATATTTCTTTAAGAAATGTTTTGATAAATTTTTATCATGTTTTGTATTGTGGACAAATTCCGCAACATCTTTTAAAAAGATTACTCTTATTTTATTTTAAAAGCATAAATTAAATCGGTCTTTTATGGCCGAGAAATTTGGGGATGTCACACTCCATTTTTTTCCTTCTTTGTACTCTTCTTTTCTATTCCCTTCCCTTCTTCTTGATCACATGGTTCTTTTTGTCCATCAACCATATTTCTTGTCCCCTTTTCTTTCTTATTACTTCCTATTTCTTCTTTTACATGTGTTGCATGTTTTTTCACTGGTGGTGCATGTTTTTTCAAAGGTTTCGCCACCACTTTTCCCTACAAAAGTTATAAAAAACAAAATGAAACAGGAAGCAGGAAACATAAGCATGTTTGTTTCATGTGGTGTGAAGTGAAACAGGAAACATGAATCACAAGAATGGAATGAACACACTCAAATATCATAAAATATCAGGAAATAGAAGCATGTCTGGTGAATCAATTAATGAAGCTGAAAATGAACTCATTCAAACATCAGAAAAACTAAGAAAACCAACGGTGTTTTCGGTATATAATTTCAGTTGACTGTTTTGAGAGTGCAAATAGCATTAAATCTGTGTAAACTTTGTTTTAGATTATTTGGACTACTACTTGTCTTGGATGTTGTGCTACTCTTTAATATGATATTTGATAATTGATATTGGTGATAACAGCAGCAGGTTTTGATTTTTATTGTGTTGGGATTGTTGTAAATTTTTTTCTGTTTTGTTGTTTTCCTATATGACAGGTACCAATTACCAGATGAGCATATTTAAAGGCGGATCAGTTGTGATTCAGAAATGTATAAGTGAAAAAGTTAGAAGCCATGGAAATGGAATCCGAAACAGGAATCCAAAATTTACTCATGGCGTATGCAGAAGCCATAGGAGTACAACAGAGAGATCTGCCTGAAGTGATTCAGAAATGTATAAGTGAAAAAGTCAGCCCCAATGGTCAAACCCTTGATCGCTTAGCACTTAACTTGTTCCCATGTGCTGAGAATGAAAAAGAGTATCTAAAACAAGAATCTATTAGAAACTTCAACACAACATTTAGTGGATTCTATGAGATCTATCCTTATGGAAGGTTTGCTCATTTCACAGCAAATTCAACAATCCTTGAAGCTGTTCCAAACCATGTTGACTCAGTTCATATAGTTGAATTTGACATGGGTGAAGGAAGTCAATGGCCTGTGGTCATATAAGTCATGGATCAAATAAGAAAATCGTTAACCATTACAAGTGTAAAGCTAAAAGATGATAACTCAAGATTATTATGCGTCATTGCTTTGCTGTGTATCTAGTTTTTGGTGGTATAGTATCAACAGAACAGAAACAAGGCAACTGGAATGAAGTGTAGTAGTCCTATCGTATAGGGTCTGGTGTTTGGCTATTTTCTGTTTATATCATTTTTCTCTTCTCAAATTTTGTATTTTCAGTTTTTTGACTAAGATAAACACCTTTAACAAATATCAACAAAGTTTACCTTTAACTAAATGTTCAAGGTGTATGTGAAAATAGTATCACTAGGTCAGAGCATCGAATAACTAAGTGTCTCGGCCAACTTAGTATGTGTCCAAGTGCATCTTTGACCTTCATAATGAAATCCTCTTCAAGTGGAATGGGTAGTAAAGCTTCTCCTTGTAAAATTGTTTCCATCATAACTTGAATGTTTTCATCTATTACATAAACGTAAAAAATAAATAAGATCCAATTTTCTAAAAAAATGAAAATATATAAAGTAGTAATAATGCAAATATTCTTCATAATACCCGAGGCACTATACTTCATTATGGTTCCTTTAGCGACTACATTTGCGGCAAAGTCAACCGCAAGAAGACATGAATTATCCTACCAAAATATAGTATGTTAGTTTGTAGAAAGAAAATACTTTAAAAATATTTTTCAAAGTGGACTTACAAGTGATTCTTCTGGTGGTTCTTTTTCAACATCTTCAATAATGACCCCTACTTGGCAACTTACAGCTTCAGAAACATTACATACACCTCTTTTAGTTTCTCTAAGGTAGTGTTTGTTTTTTGTCCGCAGATCTTCCTGTCCTCTTCTGTCTGTGCAGCGCAGACCATGCCCAGACATTAGCCTTCGCAGACTGTTTGTTTATTTGAAGACTTCAGACCTAAAAATGTATGTGCGCCTCCTTCTTCGCGCAGATGTGGACCAAAGTCTTCTAACATCTTCAGCCATCTTCTAGCCTAAAAAAACACATATACTTTATTTTATTTTTTTTAGTTTTTTTCGAATTTATATTTATTCCAACTTTATTAGTGATAAACAATTTGAAAAAAAAAAGTTACAATACTTAAAAAAAAAAGTTCGATGACACAAACATGATATTTTTGATAAATTTATAAATAAAAGTTTATTACTATAATAGTCGTTGAAGTTGTTTGTATAAATATATATATATATATATATATATATATATATATATATATATATATATACATATATATATATATATATATATATATATATATATTCTTATATTTTTTGTGCCAAATTTTATAAAACATTATTTAATAAAGCATCGTCAAATTTTTAGAAAAAATATTTATGACACGTTTTTAATTGATTTAATTGAATAAATCGAAGTTTATTTCCATTCATTTATATATCAAATTCTTTTATTCCTAATTACAATGTTTAGGCATAACTTTACGACCAAAATTGTTGGTTTTTTTCAAATATATACGTTAATTTGTACCATTTTTATTTTCACTTTTTATAGAATAATACTAAAAGTTGATTTAGATTTGTTAATTATTTATAACAAAGTCATAAATATATTAAAAAATCACTTTGTAGTTTAAAAAATCAGTTTATTTAGATTTTAGTTTATTTTAGTAGCCTGCACATGTTAGAAAAACAAACAATCTTCTTTTTTCAGACTGCAGACGTTTGGTCCACCTCTTCTGCTGCAGAGGTCTACAGATGTGGTCCGTAGACTGCAAACATGTTGCCTCAGAAAAAACAATCAGTACCTAAGTCATCTTCAAGTTTGTTAATTCGTTTATCCACCCTCTTGTTGTAACGCCCCGATTCTCAGGTATTGATTTAATGTGTGAGTTCTTGATTTCAAGGGCTACTCGACGAGTTGATTGCCCTGCTCGTCGAGTAGCAGCGGGTTGGTCCACGTATTTTAATGACCTACTCGCCGAGTCCAAGAAGGGACTCGACGAGTAGGAGCTGGCAGATGAAACCCTAAATCTCAGGGTTTTGCACCCTATTTAAAGGATCATTGGCCTCCCCCAGCCTCCCCTTTACTGCCCCTTGTCCCTCTCAAACCCTAAATCGTGTGTGTGTGTGTGTTCTTTTGGTGTGTTCAAGCTTGGAGGAGGAACTTTGGAGAAGGAAACACTTGGGGAAGCAAGGAAATCAAGGCTAGGAACTCGTGGGGAGCTAAGAGATTCATTAGTTGTCACTCTCTGGAAGGTATTAAGCTGTTCCTTTAGCTCATCTCTCTTTTAACCTCTTTTGGATGGGTTTTATGAAAGGCTCCCCATGTTTAAGCTAAGATCTGAAGTTGTAACTTTAGATATGGACTCCCTTTGACCTCTAGATCCATAAAGTCATCAGCCTTGCCTAGTAGGAGCGTTCCCTCAAGTGTGAGACTTCATTGCACGCTTAGTTTTGCCATTTAAGGGTCTTAAAGCTTTGCATGCACGTAAAGTTTGCGACTTTACGTGAAACATGCCCTAGAAGCTTGGATCTGTAATCTGGAACCTTGCCATGGCTTAAAAAGCGTCTGCATGGATAAAGGTCGGCAAGGACTCGGCGAGTTGGATGAACAACTCGGCGAGCCCGTTAAAGATGGCCATGAACTCGACGAGTTGGATGAACAACTCGGCGAGTCCGTTGAAGATTGCGTTGAACTCGGCGAGCCATTCGAAGACTCGGCGAGTCGGCTAAGGTTTCTCCCAATTCTAGGACACGTATGAACTCGGCGAGTTAAAGGGGAACTCGCCGAGCCAATCAAGGATTTCACGACTTCTCGAGTTCAGGAAGGACTCGACGAGTCGGTGAACTGCACTCGACGAGTCGAGTCAACATGGACTGTTGACTTTGACTGTGGACTTTGACTTGGACCAAGGGTTGACCAGTTGACTTCTGAGGGTATTCCGGTAATTTGGAGATTTATGAAAAAGGGTTTTATGGTAACTATAGGTGGTGGAGTTCGTGTTGTTGATCCGGGATTTGAGCTTTCTAGTTTCAGACGACAGTTGCAAGGTGAGTTATCCTCACTATACTAAGGGGTCTAAGGCACCAAGGCCGGCCCATTGGATATATTATCCTAGCAGTGTTAGAGGTTGAGTACGAGTTAGTGTTGCATGCTAGTGGTTATGCCAGTTAGGTGGATCTGTAGGACTACCTGTGATGTTATGTGATTATTGCATGCTCAGTGGTTATGTTATGTGTTTGTTATATGGGATGGGTTGAGGTTGTACTGCTTCGTGCGGTAGCCAACAAACCCTAGGAGCATTCCAGTTACGGTGTAACAACGTAAATTTTCAAAACAGTTTTTCATTTTTAAATCATACTTTCAATCACAAAACATAATGTATCCACTGTGTCATAACAAAACATGTCCCCAGAATTTCAATAACATAAACTTTATAAGTATGTACGGATCATGCCGGCGCCTTCCCGCGATCCTTGCTAGTACCTGAAACACATAACACAACAACTGTAAGGATAAATGCTTAGTGAGTTCCCCAAAATACCACATACCACACATACGCCTTTCCAGACCATAACTCTATAGGATCTTCCGATCCATGTGTCTCAGGGGACTTCCATCCCGAATCCCGGTAGACCTTCCGGTCCAACCCATATCGACCTTCCGGTCCATAACCCCTTGACCTTCCGGTCCATATCATCTTGACCTCCGGTCCTTACCATACATAACATACATAACACATACATATCACATAACCGCATATAGCACATACATCCCATAGCATACAAGACCTTACGGTCACACATATCACATAACCGCATATAGCACATACATCATAGCATACAAGACCTTCCGGTCACACATAGGTACCCTTCCAGGTACAGTATAGTGAGAAGACTCACCTCGAAGATGTCGGATAATCACTCGTGCTCAATCTTCCGACCTAGCTTTCTCCTATAGCATAAAGACATCTCTAATTAACACCTCCCTGACTTAGTTTGACTAATTCCCTAAAGTCAACACAAGTCAACTCTGGTCAACGTTGGCCAATGGCCACCCCTTTGACCCAACTCGTCGAGTCAGGCACTGACTCGGCGAGTTCAGACGTGAACTCAAGTCCCCTAAATCCCAACTGACTCACTGAGTCATTCCCCCAACTCAGCGAGTCACCAACTGTGAGTCATGGGACAACCCGGTCTGACTCGTCGAATCTGCTCATGGACTCGGCGAGTTCATTCCATGCTCGAACTCAAATGGCCTTCTGAGGTCAGATCTGTTCCTCTAATCCATAGATCTGACCTTCCTAAGCTCAATAAACACGTAAATGTTCAAACTTGATACCCATACAACGTCCAAATAACTCTACTTGAAGAATTAGCCCCAAATACAACATCCTAAGTCCATTTCTTCCATAACTCATCATAAAGCAAGATGGATAAGGCTCTCTGGACCACTATGGGTCAAGATCCGAAGCCTAAACATGATAAGGGGCCATATTTCCAACAAATCATCCCAATAAAGGGTATAGAAAACCCTAGATCCATGGATTCTTCAACAAAACAGAAAAAGGATCGATATGTTACCTCAAGGATGATGTTCTTTGCTTGAGATCCGCAGATATGCAACCTCCTTGGCCTCCTCTAAGCTGGGACCACCTTCTTCTTGCAAAACCAACCCACAAAGATCAAATAATGCCTTCTTCCCTCTCACAAACGCTCAAGCACTCTTAGGGTTTCTCTCAAGGGTCTGGTAGCCGCAAATGGTGGCTATAAGAGTCCTTAAATAGGTCCCAAACCCAAGAAATTAGGGTTTCTTTCGTCAGTTCTGACTCGGCGAGTGTACTCCCCTGACTCGTCGAGTCTAATCATTTTCCACGTCACCCATTCGCGACCTGACTCGACGAGTCTAAGCACCAACTCGTTGAGTCACCTCAACACAAATCAAATTACAATATTAATTAATGTACCTGGGAAACTGGGCGTTACATACGGGCTAAGGGAGACTCGTACTGTGGGCTCAGGAGCATTCCAGTTACGGGCTAAGGGAGACTCGTACTGTGGGCTCGTGGGTATTACAGTCTGTAGGGCTGTGAACCCGTTATGTGCTGTTATGTTCAGTTTGTTATGATACGTTATTGCTGACATGGTTATGTGGACTGTATGTGTATCGGTATTTTAAGGGTAACTCACTAAGCTTTCGGGCTTACAGTTTTAGTTTATTGTTTCTGGTACATCAGGGGATCACGGCAAGGCGAAGGCATGACCGTACAGCTCCTCATATTATGTTTATGTTTCTGGGAATACTCTGATAAATAATATTTTGAAAACAAGGTTGTAATGTTTTGATGAATTTGACATGTTTTAAAAGTTTAAATTGGTTTGAAATTTTTGGGTGTTACACTTGTTCTCAATCTCCAAGAAATGCTTAACATTCTTGGGTGAATAAAAGTATTGTTGTGGCGTTATAAATTTATCCATCCCTCGTACATGCCCATATTTTTCCTCAGTACCCAAGGCCTCTGTAAGCACATCATGTGTTCCACATGTAATCTCTCCAAAACTTCCCGAATTCTGCAGCTCATCATGTAAAAAAATGGGACAGATTGTAAGTGAATTTGTGGATAGATTCATGTTGTTTTTTTTATATATTTGACATTCAATGAAACTTACAAGTCTATCAACAATCATCTTGACATTTGATTCATACCCTCCTGTTTTCAGTTCTCTTGCTTTTTTCCACAACATTGTCTTATCATTCTCCTCTTTCGTCTTGCCAGTTTCTTGCATCTAAATTATCAAGAATAACAAAGTCAATTAACATAAATATATACAAGTAAAATATTTAATAATTAGTGGGATTCATACAATGTCATTAATGAGTCCGGCATATCCTTTTCTGCTCAAACGATGATTGTATTTATGATGTGCACGAACATTTTTAGCTTTCATACTTTTGTCCTGCATTAGAAACATTAAAATTGTAACTCTTTTTTGTAACTCTCTGGGATACAAAAAATTTTATTGATCAAATGCATATACGAAAACTTTAACGAACCTCCCACTTTTTTGTAACTCTATGGGATACAATAATTTTCCAGTCTTCTTTCTTTAAAAACGGATAATCTTTCAGAGGTTTGAGTAGATTTAACTTAGGATCTTTACTTTTTTTCTTAATGAACTTGACATATAGATAATGTTTGAAGTTTCTCCACTTCTTCCCGATCAATTGGAGAGTGTGCTTCCGGCTCTTTGGGTCAACTACAAATTTTTCCTGAAACATAAAACAAACAATATTAAAAAAAAGATAACTTGAAGTTAAGATCATATGTTAGACTTACCAAAACATATTGCCATTGCTCTTCCTTTGTTTCGGCACCAACTTCCAACCAAGAGGAATAAGTTATGGGAACCACTGTTCTTGCAACCAAACCCTCAAAAGTATATAGTTTTGTGGCTTCCTTTCCAACGACACCTTTTTTATTGTAAGTTATTATAAGTTTCACTTTATTAGCTTTTGATTTTATTGTTAGACCTCTTTGTTTGGAGTCCTCATCATGATCAGAAGCAAATATGATTCCATGTCACAAAAAACAACCTGTTTCAACGAGATTCAAATAAAATTAAGTACATTGTAATTTGTTGCAGTTGGAAAAAAATTAATCACATTCAAGATCTGAAATAAAAACATACCAAAAACTTTATTATTCTGCAAAAAATAGTTTAGACTAAGATGCCCTCGCCATCCGGGCGCGTACACAAAAAATAATCATCAAGGTCTAATAAAGTGGAGTCTTGTGTTAAATCAGAAGTAGCAACAAATTTAAACATATCATCAGTGTAACATTCATAAAATTCTTGAAAATTTTAAACTTTTTAACAACCACAAAACCATCATTTATCACAATTTGTTTTCAAAATAAGTTTCACATCAGAAAAACCCCAAAATAGTAAAACAAAACATGAGGAGGTGCACGATCACGCCTTCGCCTTCCCGCGATCCTCTGAGGTACCTAAAACATAATCCAAACTGTAAGCCCAAAGCTTAGTGAGTTCCCCCAAAATACCCATACATAACAATAGCACAAATATAATAACAACATATTATGGGTCCAATCAACCATCGAGTTGGAATACCCCAGGCCCCTCAACCATCGGGTTGGAATGCCAACATATTATGGGTCCAATCATCCTCGGGATGGAATACCCTAGGCCCTCAACCATCGGGTTGGAATGCCCCGGCCTGTTGGCTTACGCACAAAGCAGTGAAGCCTCAACCACTAACCAATCATGTGCATATATATAAGATAATCATCTGACAGTCTACAACCAGACGAACAAATCTACAGATTACTAAGCATAGCAACATCCTATCTACCAGGATACCGATCTAACATATCATAACAACATAACAACATGTATAACAGTATATCAATCTAATGGGCCGCATTGGTGCCTTCGACCCGCAAGTACAGTGAGGACAACTCACCTCATAAGAAGTGCTGAACTGATAAGATCTGACTCCGAATCTCAGCTCCCGAATCAATGCCTACAACCACCATGACCAATTCCATCAAAATCCCGACATACCCAAAATGCCCTCAAAAGTCAAACTTGGTCAACCATGGTCAAATTCAAAGTCAACAGTCAAGGTCAACAGTCCATGCTGACCCAACTCGTCGAGTTCCTACATAAATCAGAAGGTCGGAAAAACCCTAGCCAACTCGCCGAGTTGGTTGGAAAACTCACCGAGTTTTCCCCAACTTAACACATTCAGTTGATTCTTTGATTCCAGGGACTCTAAAGCTCATATCTAAACTCAAATGTTGTCTAAAAGGATAAAGTTTCCAAATTTATCCTTTAGAGCTACTCCAAGTGCTCAAAAACCCCTCCACAAGGCTTGAAAACTCAACGGCTTAACCAATAAGCACAAAATCCTTGAGATCTGAAACTCAACTTTTCCAAAAGGGATTCTAGCCTCAAAAACGTCCCAAAGGTTGGTGCTTTATATACATGCATGTCCAATGCATGTCTTGAACCCAAAATGGGTCCAAAAAGGGAAAATGTGACCTAAACTCCATGCATGGCATCAAGACTTGGCTAAAGACCAGATCCAAACCACTATAAGGTCACCTTGACCTGGAGATTCATAAAGTTGCAAACTTTATGAAGTCCATCCATTGCAACATCCAAGAATAAGGAGAAAAAGGGACAAAACTCAAGATGTAGCTACATAGATAGATAAAAATCGGATCTTGGACACTTACAAAGGTCCATAAGAGATTCGGACTGAAGATGAGAGATTTTCTTGCTAGATCCTTGCCTCCTTCTTCTCACTTTCTTCTTCTTTTGCTCCAAAAAGCCACATTGGAAATCGAGATGTTACAATCATTTTCATCATTTGATCCATACTTGTATATCTTATGTGGTGTGAAGCCAACAACATGAAAATTCTCATCTTGTTGATCTTGAACATAAAAAACTTGTTTGCCTTGACTAGCTAATACGAAGGGTTCAGACTTCTGACCAAGCCTATCAAAGTTAACTACTGTGAATCCTAAATCATCCTTTTTACTCCACGACTATCAACACAATCACACATAAATACAGGAATAGTAAACATGCGATAATCAAGATCCCATATCTCCTTTATACGACTGAAGTAAGTAACAACACCATACATAGTATTGGAGTGTTTTGCAATAGCAATCTGCATAATATGTGCAGCTAAAGATACTCCATTGCATTGAATTGTTCTAGACTCATCTCGAGATGTTATATGAAAAAGATACTCATTTATGGCAAAACCGCTATATTTACTAACAACAAAACTAGGCCCTTTGACCAGCCAACGAACATCATCACAAATATTTTCCCCGTTAGCCAAACGTTTTTCAACCTATTAGAAAAATATCTAATTAATGTAATTCAAACAAAATAATTAAAAATATTGTAATTCTAACAAGCTTATTTTAAAAATAAACCTCTTTCTTAAACCAACTACTAAATGCCCGACTGTGTTGGCTCTGCAACCATGTACTCTTGCGAGAGTCACGGGGGTTGAGATTCTTCAATTCTAACATATGTTGCCTGAAGCGTATTAGAAGTTAGAAGAAGTTAAATGATAGATAATGTTCAAAGAGTATATAGTTTCATGTAATTCTTATTCTATATACGACTCCACAACATCAGTGTTTCGTAATACATAAAGATGAGCTTGATCAAGTAACTTAGCATCTACAACATCGATTATAGCCTTTGATAAAGGCTTGCCGCTGCGGATTCTTTCATAAACACGTTCATGAGGATTGCCAATTGATTTCATGTTTTTTAAGTAGTATGAACAAAATTCTAAGGCTTCCTCTGCCACATAACACTCTGCACTGCAACCCTCGGGTCGATGATGATTTATTACATACCCTTTAAGTGTTTTCAAGTATCTCTCAAATGGATACATCCACCTAAAATGAACTGGGCCACACAACCTCTCCTTTCTAACTAAATGCACCATCAAGTGAATTGTGACATCGAAAAATGAAGGAGGAAAGTACTTCTTTAACAAACATAAGGTTAATACGATGTCACTTTGCAACTTGCCTAGCTTACTAACATCAATAACTTTACTACACAACTCATTGAAAAAACGACACAAACTTAGGATTGTTCTCAACACCTTCATGTCTAACACCCCTTTGATTGCAAAAGAGAGAAGTTGTTGCATTAGTACATGACAAATCATTAGACTTCAAACCATTCATCTTTGAAACACCATCCGACCCGAGATTCTTGAAATTGGAGCAATACCCATGAGGCACTTTTATGTTAGACAAGGTATCATAAAATAGATGTTTCTCTGAGGAATTCAATGTGTAGCACGCATGCGAAAGCCAATGTCGGTCCCCTTTTAGTTAAGTTTGTAATTCAGGCTTAATGCCCAACGCTTCAAGATCTTGTCGTGTTTATAATCCATCCTTCATCTTGTGAGGAAAATTCAATATTGTCCCATAAACACTCTCGGTCACATTTTTTTCTATGTGCATGAGATCTAGCTGATGACGAACAGTCAACTTCTTTCAATATTCAAGGTAAAAAAATATCGACTTTTTATGCGAAAATTTAGATCTATCATCGATACTTTCTTTTTTCTTCTTTGGCGTTTCCTTCTTTGATGCTCACTTGTCTGACTTTATCTTCTTTAACTTTATCTTCTTTCATCATATCTTCTTTGATTTTATCTTCTTACCCCCATGTACTCTCAAATCCCGCCAGATAGTCATAAATATCTTCACCTGATGATGGTTGTTGCATAAAATTATGCTCCTGTTGATTGTTGAAATGTTTTTTCTTTTACGAAAAGGATGTTCAAGTGGGAAGAATCTTCTATGCCCAAGGAAGCATACTTTTTTGGACTTTGGCAACCATTGTGAACAAGTATTCTTCGAACATATTGGACAAGAATAATAACCTTTGGTAACACACCCCGAAAGATTACCATATGTGGGAAAGTCACTTATAGTCCAAAGTAATATTGCTCTTAGATTGAAGTATTCATTCTTATAAGAATCAAATGTCTCAACGCCAGTTTCCCACAAGAGTTTTAGATCTTCTATCAATGGTGCCAAGTAGACATCAATATTATTACTAGGTTGGTTTGGCCCTGATATCAATAGAGTCAATATCATGAATTTTCTTGACATACGCAAATAAGGGGGTAGATTATATGTTATTAGGATAACCGGCCAACAACTATGCTTAGAACTTAATGACTTGTGAGGATTAATACCATCAACAGACAAGGCTAATTTAAGATTTCATTTTTCTTTTCTGAATTCTTTCCACATGTTATCAACAAGCTTCCAAGAAGGGGTATCACGAGGATGAGTAAGCTTCCTATTATTGGCGCGACCTTGTGCATGCCAAGTTAAGTCATGTGCAATTTGCGGTGATGAAAACATTCTTCTAAATCTAGGGATGATAGGAAAAAACCACAAAACTTTTGAAGGTACGTTTTGGCATTCTTCTTCCAACGAGATGTGCCATAAGTTGGACATTCAGAAGCATCCTTATGTTCTTTCCATAATAGAACACAATCATTTTCATATGCATGAATCTTCTCATATAGTAGACCTACTCCTTTTAGCAACTTCTTGGACTCATATATCGTGCTAGGGATGGTATTGTTTGATGGTAAGATATCTTTTAGGACACACAACAAAGCACCAAAACTAGCATCAGACCAGCCAAACTGACCCTTAAAATGTTGAAATTTCAATAATCCACTAAGTGAATTATACTTTGACCCTACATAAAGTGGCTTATCACATTCTTCAAGAAGTGATTTCAATGAATCCGGTTCTTTCTCTACATATTTGAAGGCATCATGTAGCATATCCTTTGTATAAATAACATCAGGAGGAATGGAATTGTTAGGGCATCTAGAATCAATATAGGGTTGTTTTTCTCCATCGAAAGACCAAATCTTATAATTTTCATCGAAGTCGCGGGCAAACAAATAATAACAGGCATTGTCAATTGAATGGTGACACAAATTGATACAATTTACACAAGGGCATGGAATAACATCTAACTTTGGATTATTACTTTGTGAAAACTCTAGAAAAGCATTCACACCTTCATCATATGCATTTGATAATCTACTAGAGGAAATCCATGATTTATCCATTAAACATTTGTGACCAACCTACATAATTATTTACCATTTAAAGCAACAATGATTAGGCATGTATAAAAGAAAAAATTAAACTAATATTTGACACTAATCGGTTCCTTTTTAGCACAAGAACCAAAATGTAATTTATTTATTTTGATAATAGTAAACAAAACTAAAAACCGTACAGGGACCAAAATCCAAAACTTTTACAAGGACCAAAACTGATGCAGGGATCAAAACTGATGCAGGGACCAAAACTGTGCAAAAACAAAACTGTATAGGGGACAAAACTGTATAGGGACAAAAAAAACTTCGCATAGACCAAAACTGATTCGAAAGGAAATATCTGATACAATAAGGTGCAGGAAACAAGAAACTTTTATACTCAAGGTGGAGTTAGAGGAAGGACTTTTACACTCAAGGTTTGTTCATTTAACATTTTTTCATGGCAAGGGCTAAAAACAGGAAACAAGAAACAGAAGTACGAAAAAATCAACGAAAAGAAAGGAAGTTATTACCTTAGCTACAATTCATTCAGGTAATTAAGGAAGTTAGGGAGGATCCAACTGTGCACAAACCACCACTTTGTTCTCTTCAACCTAAAAAACAAGCATATTGTTACATGTTGCAAAAAGGTTAAAAGGTAAAAATAAAAAGGATTTGTCATATATATATATATATATATATATATATATATATATATATATATATATATATATATATATATATATATATATAACAACATAAAATTTAGCTAGTATAAAACCCATGTCTAATAAACTATGGAAATAAGTTGTGAACATTAAAGAAACATGGTCATTGCAAAATTAGAATAGCAGCAACCTAACATTGAGATTGACAGTTAACCAACTTTCGAAGATGATGCGTTGATTCGATTGTTTTCACCATTTGGGGAGATAGTAATGGCAAAGGTGATTAAAGATAGGGTCACTGGGCTGAGCAAAGGTTATGGTTTTGTCAAGTATTCTGATATACCTCGGAGCAAGAGCAATATTGCATCTACTACTACTAATACTGAGGCCCAAGCCCAACAAAGCTACCCAAATAATATTAATGCCCCTCCTGCACAATCCCCATCCCAGTCTAGTAATGTTTATGGGACAACAACAACACCAAACACCCAAACAACATATCCTTACTCTTCTTATTATATTGTACCTGCAACTACACCTTGGTCTTTAAATCTCTCTGCAGACCAAACTTGTTGACACATGAGACCTTTTGTGTCCCCACATTTAGTTCTTCACCTGTTTTAACTCTTTCATTTAAAGTTTTGCATCAGTTAAGAAGATGTTAGATTGTAAGAGACCTCTGAAATACTTCACATCGACCATAAATATTGTTCCTGTTCAGTTTGGTGTCATTATCCTTTCATGAAATAAAAAGAACAAAGCTTTCCTCTCTGTTTTCACCCTTCTTAGAATTATCTATTTCTAACAAGTGGTATCGGAGCAACAAGGATCTTAAGGGCCAGAAAATCAATCCAGTTTACAAGAATGGCCGGTACTTCTACAATAACATTCTCTACACCAGCACCTCCTGTCTTTGATGGAGAAAATTATGAATACTGGTGCATTAAAATGAAGCTCTTCTTAAAAGCGAACACACTATGGGAGATAGTGGAAACTGGCTTTCAACAAAAAGCTGAAGGAGTCCAGTATACAGAAGCTCAATTACAGCAGTTGAAGGAAGATGAGCTTAAAGACGCCAAAGCTTTGTCCTATATACTTAACGCTGTCACACACACCATATTTCCCAGAATTATGCGAGCATTATCTGCAAAATCAGCATGGCAATCCCTTGAGGAGGAGTTTCAAGGGGATGAGAGAGTAAGAACCGCTCGCCTAAATTATCTAAGAAAAGATTTTGAAAATATGAAAATGAAGGAGAATGAAGATACAAAGGTTTACACTTCTAGATTACTTGAAGTTGTAAACCAAATGAAAACTTACGGAGAAGACATCTCTGATGCAAGAATTGTGCAAAAAATTCTTGCGACATTGACCAACAGGTACAATACAATCGCCACTATAATTGAAGAATCAAAGGATTTATCCCAACTTAGAGTTATAGAGCTGATGAGTTCTTTGCAACTACACGATCAAAAACTCAAAAAAGCAACATAAAGTTCATCCGAAGAAGTCTTCCGGTCCAATGATAAACAAAAGCAATCAGGTCCTAAAAACAACTCTTGGAAGAAGAAAAGTTATGGAGATTCCAGCGAAAATCATAAAAAAAAAGCTCCACAATCAAAAGGAAAATTTCCTCCTTGTGGAACTTGTAAGAAGACAAATCATGTAGAAAAAGATTGCTATTTCAAAGGGAAACCTCAATGTCGACATTGCATGAAATATGGTCATGTCGAAAAAGATTGTAGACAAAAGCAAAAGGTGTCCAAGGCAGAAGTGCAATTCTCAAGTACCAACATGGATGAAGATTATCTGTTTTGTGCACGCCAAGCATCAGCCTCGAGCAACAAGGAAATTTGGTTTATCGACAGCGGCTGCACTAATCATATGACAAATAATTCAAGCATCTTCTGCATGTTGGATTACTCTGTCAAAGTACCGGTGCGTATGGGGAATGGAGTTGTTTCTAAGTCCTTAGGCAAGGGTACTATTGATGTGGAAACAAATGAAGGTACGAAATATATCAATGATGTTCTTCTTGTTCCGGATCTTGCTGAGAATTTTCTTAGCGTGGCTCAAATGATTAAGAACGGATACTCAGTTCTCTTTAAGGATGACCGTTGCACTATAAAAGATCCTGCAAAGAAAAAGATTGTTAAAGTTGTGGTGGAGAATAAAAGCTTCCCCTTGATATGGAAATATCCTTCAGAGAAATTAAACAGAGCTAATATGGAAAGTACCTGGTTGTGGCATAGAAGATATGGGCACTTCAATGTACGTCCATTAAATTACCTACATAAGAAGGGTATGGTTAGGGACTTTCCCTCGATCCATGTTTCAAAAGATGTTTATGAGCCTTGCCAACTCGGGAAGCAACATAAACTACCATCAGAAAGGACAAGCTTGGAGAGCAAAGGGAAAGTTAGACCTCGTGCATAAAGATGTATGTGGTCCCCAAAGAACAACATCTCTTAATAGGAACAAATATTTCATCTTGTTCATTGATGATTTCAGTCGGATGACTTGGGTGTATTTCATGAAGGAAAAATCAGAAGTTTTTAGCATTTTCAAGAAGTTTAGAATTCTTGCTGAAACTCAAAGTGGTTGCAAGTTGAAAATGTTGAGATCTGATCGAGGAAAGGAGTATAATGCGGTGGAATTTGATAGATTTTGTGAAGATGAAGGCGTCGAACGACAACTTACAGTCGCGTACACGCCTCAGCAAAATGGAGTTTCCGAAAGAAAGAACAGAACAGTCATGGAAATGGCCAGATGCATACTCGCAGAAAAGAAAATGCCAAAGAAATTTTGGGTGGATGCTGTTTACACAGCCGTATATCTGCTAAATAGACTACCTACTAAGGCGGTTCATGAGAAAACTCCAATTGAAGCCTGGAATGGGAAAAGGCCAACAGCAAAACATTTAAAAGTATTTGGTTCAGTTTGCTACGTTCACATCCCGTCCCAGAAAAGAAGCAAGCTTGATGAAAAGTCAGAAAAAGGAATCTTTATCGGTTATGACTCAAAGTCAAAAGGTTACAGGATTTGTAACCTAAACATCGAGAAGGTCATCGTGAGTAGAGACGTGGAAGTGGATGAAGATGCAATCTGGAATTGGGAAGAGGGAAAGCTTGAAAGGAAAATGAACGTAGTCTATGATCCTCCTCGTCAACAAAAACCTCAAGAATCATATGAGGTTAACAACAATGATGTGCATTCTGATTCTCATACGCCTCCGTCATCTCCTACACATGCAGACTCACCAACATCGGGTTCAAACTCAAAAAATGCCACAGGTCCTAGAGCTAAAAGATCACTTTCTGATGTATATGAAGCCTATCCAATTATTCACTTAGATGTTAAACAGTGTGAGAGGTGTTTCTTTGCTACTGATGTGCCACACGATTATTCTGAAGCCTCAAAACACAAACAATGGCAAGATGCTATGGAGAACGAAATGAAAATGATAGAGAAAAATGAAACATGGGAGTTGGTCGATAGGCCAAGCGATCGAAAGGTGATTGGCGTGAAATGGGTCTACAAAACTAAGTTAAATCCTGATGGAACTATCAGCAAACACAAGGCTAGATTGGTCGTTAAGGGATACTCACAACAAGCGGATATAGACTATGGAGACACTTTCGCTCCTGTGGCTAGACATGACACCATAAGGACACTAATTGCATTAGCAGCTCAAGAAAGGTGGAAAATATTTCAACTTGATGTTAAATCTGCATTTCTAAATGGCGAACTTGAGGAAGATATTTACGTCGAGCAACCATATGGATTCATTGTTGAAGGGAAAGAAGAGAAGGTGTGCAAACTGAAAAAAGCTCTCTATGGCCTAAAACAGGCCCCACGCGCTTGGTACAGTAAAATAGACTCTTATCTCGTTGAGTAAGGCTTTGAGAGAAGCAAAAATGAGCACACTTTGTACATAAAGAAGCAAGGAAAAAATGATTTGCTTATTATATCCCTCTATGTCGATGATCTTCTTGTTACAGGAAATAATTCAAAGATGATCCTTACATTCAAGGAGGAGATGAAGAAGAAGTTCGAGATGACTGACTTGGGTTTAATGAATTACTTTCTTGGCATGGAGGTTCAACAATCAGAAGATGGGATTTTTATTTCCCAAACCAAGTATGCAGAAGATATCCTCAAGAAGTTCAAAATGCAGTGTTCCAAAGCAGTAGCAACATCCCTTGTGGTAAATGAAAAGTATTCTAGAAATGATGGAAGCAAAAAGATTGATCCTAGACAGTACAGGAGCTTAGTTGGAAGCTTGTTATACTTGACAGCAACACGACCAGATTTAATGTTTTCTGCAAGCATATTGTCAAGGTTTATGAATGAGCCAAGTGAAATTCATATGGGTGCTGCAAAAAGGACTCTAAGATATTTGCGGGGTACTATTGATCATGGAATTCTTTATCAACCATGTTCTGATCCGAAGTTAATTGCTTATTCTGATAGTGACTGGGGTGGTTCCCAAGATGACATGAAAAGCACCTCAGGTTATGCCTTCTCATTTGGCTTGGGAGTGTTTTCGTGGATTTCCAAGAAACAAGAAGTTGTAGCTCAGTCCACTGAAGAGGCTGAATATATTGCAGCTTCAGCTACTGCTAATCAAGCTGTATGGCTGAATATATTGCAGCTTCAGCTACTGCTAATCAAGTTGTATGGTTGAGGAAGATCTCTACAGAGGCTGAATATATTGCAGCTTCAGCTACTGCTAATCAAGCTGTGGTGTTGCCTGCTATCACCCAACTTCAGACATTCACATCTTTATGCATTGCTTGCTGATAATAATATTTTTTTTGAACTTTTTACTAATATTTTAGATATGAATTTTGGTTGTGTATGTTTCTACAATATAATTCACATCTCTATGAGCATGTTTTTTTCTGGTTGATATGCATGCCATCTACTTCTGTAGATTGGAAGGACTTCCATTTCTTCCCTATATGGTATGGGCAGCAGGTGGCATTGGTGGCACCTAAACTTTTATTATTATTATTATTTTTTGTGAGAGGCCATTTGAGTGTTGGTTATTGAATCTAACTTGTAACAAAGTTAGATTTCAGTTTTGATTATTATTTGTTGGTTCCCTCTTTCTTTTTATTACAACTGTTTTGGTGTTCTGTTTTATGATTTTAGTCTTCTTTTAGGTTGAGTACTATGGTTCACCAGTCAATTTGAAAACAATCACCCAAATCAGCACTCCAGATTCAAGCTCGCTCTTAGTGCAGCCTTATGAAAAATCAAGGTACATGATCTGATAAGTGTTATTTAGTTTCCTTTCTTTTGGCTTAATGGACTTAATTGGGACATTACTTAATCAAGTAAGCTATATATGGGTGATTAGTTTGACTTAATGCAGAAAGAATGACTTAATAGAAAAGAAGTCTAGTAAAGAAGACTCTCCTGATTAAGTCCTATCTTTTTGTAAATATTCCCTCATTTATTCAGACAACACTTAATGCATGGCCTTTTTTCAGCTTAAAGTATATAGAGAAGGCCATAGTCAACTCTGATCTTGGTTTGACTCCTAACAATAATGGTGAAGTGATAAGATT